TGTAGGATGCCATAAATCCTTTCCTCCTTCTTAAACCACATTTCCATATGCCTTTAGAATAATCAGTGGTTCTCAACCTTCCTAATGCCTTGACCCTTTAATACAGTTCCTCATGTTGTGGTGACCCCAACCATAAAATTATTTTCGTTGCTACTTCATAACTGTAATTTTGCTACTGCTATGAATTGTAATGTAAATATCTGATATGCAGGATATATTTTCAGGGGTCGAGACCCACAGGTTGAGAACCGCTGCTTTAGATGATAAAATGTACATACAACAAACTCTTGGTTGTCTATATAGACCGCCTCATCTCAGACCAATTTACTAGCTTTATTTTTTAACATTTTTTATTGATTTCAAAGAGGAAGGGAGAGGGGAGAGAAAAATCGAACCATCAATGATGAGAGAAAATCATTGATCGGCTGCCTCCTGCACGCCCCCTGCTGAGGATCGAGCCCACAACCCAGGCTTGTGCTGTTGACTAGAATCGAACCCGGGACCCTTCAGTCTGCAGACCAATGCTCTATCCACTGAGCCAAACCCACTAGGGCCAATTTATTAGCTTTTTCTCCTTCCAAACCTCACATTGCCTAGATCAAAGTCTTAATTCTTCCATCCTCCCAAATCTGTCCCTCTCAATATTCTGTTTATTTGGAACTTAAGCACTCAGTTGTTAAATCTCTACCAGTAAATCTGACAGAGCCTTGAATCCCCTTTCCATGACCGTCCCATCCAAGTCAATCAATTCTGTCTACTAAGTAACTGGAACAATTTTTATCACCATTAACTTTTGTCCATAGACCTTGTCTGGTTGCATATTTGCACAAACCTTCCAAATATCTTGTTCTTGCTTCTGATGCTGCGCCCCCCACACCCAATCCATTCTCTCTCTACATAAAAGCCAAATGATATTTTATAAACACAAATCATACGATGACATTATTCTGTTCAACACCCTCCAGTGGCTTCGAAACTCCTAACTCGAGCTTATCAAGTTCTCCTGGATCTGGGCTGTGTATTCCTCACATACCTACTATCCTCTCAGACAGTGTTATGGATCCACACTGAATTCCTTTGATTTCTTGAACATGCCACGCTTATTGCCATATCAGGACTTTTGCATCCTCTCGCCCTTCTGCCTACTTTGCCCTTCTATTCAAGCTTCTCGCATCTGGCTCTTTCTGAGTATTGCTATCTCAGCTTAGATATTATATTCTCAGAGAGATCCTGCCAGATGCACAGTGCAAAGCAGCTATTCCAGGAACAACCTATATCATCAGGGACTGTCCTAGTTTATTTGTCCATTCATTTGTTTTTTATTCAAAATACCCTGCACATTAGTACATATGCTACAGAAGACTACATATTTCATTCAATGCTATATCCATATATTTATGTTGTCCAATAGAACCAGAGTTGTGAGCCTCATCTGTGACTTTCAATTTTGTTAAAGTAAACAAAATAAATTTTAATAATATATATTTTTAACTCAACACATAGAGACGATCATTTCAGCATAACCAATCTGAGAATTTTCAATGAGACATTTTCTCTTTTTTATATTAAGTTTTTGAATATATGAAATTCATTTTTTACTACACTCATCTCAGGTCAGACTAGCAAGAACTCAATAGTCATCTGTGGCAAGTGGATTCTTATTGGACAGTCCAGCTCTAGAGCTCAGGAAGTATCTGCCACATAATAGATACTCTCATAACAATTTTTAATTCTCAGGCTTGGAACTTACCACGAGCTGCGACCGGTTCCTGTGGCCAGTTCCAGTCTTCCTGTGGAGTAACTCAGGGAGGAGGGCTTCAGCAGATGCTTTATTGAAGGACAAGGGGGAAGGACAATGGGGCTCAACCAGTCATGTGACAGGAACTCAGAGCTTCTTGCAATTTCCATAAAACACTCTGGATATGTTGTCAGCTTATTCTTAAATGTCAATGGTCAAGGATGTTTTTTGTTCAGGCCCTTTCTCTTCCAGAGATTCAAGGAAATGAAAGAAATAATTGCTGATGTGAGAGGAATTGGAGGCAAGCAATAAAATACAGTTATTGGTTTAAAAAAACCTTATTTCTGCACTCAACACTTCAGACACCATAGGTGTGGGTTTGTTCTGTACTGAAACATTCTCCAATTCTCTGTGGACCTCACCTGGGTGTTCTACAATCTAATTCAGTCTGACACTGTCTGGAATTAGGACCAGATCCTACAAGGTAAAGGACTCAGTGCTATAAGGCTACCCCACTTCAGGTGCCACTTGGGAGTTCCAGGTTGCCAATTGTGCTTAAGACTGACCAGCTGTAAATCAGAGGTCCCCACAGTCCCCTCCTCAGGTACAATTATTTGCTAGAATGGCTCACAGAACTCAGGAAGGAATTTACTTGTGTTTAGCATAAGTAAACATACAACAAACAAAAATAATGAACACAACATTATGTTGTATTCATTATTAAGACTACAACTCCAGCCAAAACCGATTTGGCTCAGTGGATAGAGCGTCGGCCTGCGGACTGAAGGGTCCCAGGTTCGATTCCGGTCAAGGGCATGTACCTGGGTTGCGGGCACATCCCCAGTAGGAGATGTGCAGGAGGCAGCTGATCGATGTTTCTCTCTCATCGATGTTTCTAACTCTCTATCTCTCTCCCTTCCTCTCTGTAAAAAATCAATAAAATATATTTTTTTAAAAAAGACTACAACTCCAAACAGCCAAATCAAAGAGATGCATCGGGCAAGGTATGGGGCATGTGTGTGCACAGAGTTTTCATGTTCTCCTGGGGGCATCACCCTCCCAATACCTTGATGTGTGCAGCAACCCAGAAGCTCATCAGCTTTTATTGTTTAAGAGTTTTATGGAGCTTAATATCCTGCACCTTCCCAACTACTGTTTCCAGATGTCAGTGTGTGGATCTGAAATTTTGGAAGCTTTAATGGCTTGGTCCCACTGAGGCTACCTAGGGAGACCCTCACTCACCTCATTAACATAAATTTGGTGTAATCTAAAGGGACTCCTCATGATAAAAAGACACATGTCATTCAGGAAATTGCGAGTTTTTAGATGCCCGATGGCACGCACCAGGGACAAAGACCAAATATTTTTTTGCATTTGAGTCTGTATTTTGAGTTTATCTTTGGCCAACGCATCAGGATGTTCTGTTACACATTAGATGACAATGTGTGAGTGATTAGTTGCAGAAACCAAGAAAAAAGGCTGAGAAGTACTGTAGATTGATTTATTTCAAAGCAAAGCCATCAGTCAACAGTTAGCCAGAGTACTTTATTAGAAACAGAAAATCAAAATCTGAGGTGTTCATAAAAAGATAAGCCACTTGAGGATTTGTAAAAATTTTGGGAATGGCAGTGAGAGTTCAGTAAACAGTCCCCCATTCATGATGAATTCAGAATTCATTTTAATTAGACATTAAAGGTCTGCAGTTGATACCTGGATGATGCTATTATTCATTGAGTCATTAATTACATAACTCTTTGTGTATCTATCACATATCAGGCACTATTTTACACATATGATATTGGGGTCCATTCATGAACAATAAAGGCCAAACCCTGCCCTCAGATAGATTACATTCTTATTATGTAAAGATAACCCTACCAAGTACTGTAACACAGTTTTCATACTGTTTCATACCAATAAATTTGGCTATTTGGAAAAAAATGACTAAATTCCTTGAATATCATAGGTTACCAAAACAGACAGAAGAGGAAATAGAAAGTCTGAATAATCCTATAATTATTAAAGAAATTGAACCTGTTAGAAGTCTTCTTGTAAAGAAAACTCAATATCCACTTGGGTTCACTGGTGAATTTCTCTAAACATTTATAAAAGATATAACACCAGAGAATAGTATTGGATGAATCACTTCCCAGCTCTTTTTACATCATGGGATGTAAAACCTGACATGGATATAAGTGGAAAGTAAAAAAACATGTGCATCTTTACATATAAATATAAATGCAGAAATTCCAAACCAACCTAGAGTGGTTTGGAAATATATAAAGTATATAATGTATACATAAAGTATATATATAAAGTATATATATATATACTGTATAT